ACTCGCCTGGCATCCTTCAGCGAGACTGCACTTCCACCCGCTGCAGTGCCACGCCGTAAAAAAGCGCCGTACTCAGCGGGTCCCCGAGCCTTCTCCAGCCCGTGAAAGCTCGCCGGTTCGCCTGCCAGCTTCACCAGCTTCACTCGAGTCGCTCACTGACGGATAACGGCCGCCGCGCGCCGCCGCTCCTGCCATTAATGACGACGAGATAGCTGCATCTGTAGAGGAGACCTGCTTCTCTATCCTGGCGTCGGACAGTGAGGACTGGGCGAGCTCTGTGGACCTCCCCTTTCTGTCCGCGAGTCGTCAGGGAAACGGGCCAGCATCAAGACCGCTAAAACCGCGGCTAGCTTTCTTTACGTTATAAGAAATCTACCCCGCCCCCCCATGGGCGTGCGTCACCGGTAAAATGAGAAAAGAGTGTGTTTTAGTCCCCGCCGAGGCCGGACTAATCTCCATTTCTCAAACATTTCTCAGCTCCTAGTTTGAGCGGCTGAAAATGTCATTATTGCAGCAATGAGCCTGTTGTATAACACGCACACCTGCATACAAACGCCGACACACACAAAACTGTGATGACGCTCTCTTATCTGCTTACGCTAATGTTGTTCTCCCTGTGGCTCAGGGGCGGAACCCGAAGCCTTCGCGCGAGAGACCCGTGTTCGATCCCGGCTCTTGCAGCAGATAAAAATTTAGTCTCGCCGCGGCCAGACTTCCACTGAAATTTTCGCTCGTTCGGTTCCAGAAAATGTGACTGTTCCAGTGTATTTTGCAGTAAGCAAGCCAGTACCATGCCCGCTTGCCTGCACACAAATGCTGTTCCCATGGCGACCCAGATAAATCACATAAACGATGTATTTTCTGGTATTCCGGCCACAGCCGATGGTGTTATGAGTGTAATAAAAATGCCCACAACCCAGGGCTCATTTCTACACACAAACACAGCCCGCAAAAATGCAGGGCTCGCACAAACAAAATCGCCTCATGTCGATTGTGCACTAAATGTAGTGAATGTGCCTACGTCTCAGTGCCCACAAACACTACACACCACATGTCCCACTGGTTCTGTAAAAACGAAACCAACACGCATTCAGTCAGCTCAGGCCGATGGTGTTTTTCAGTGCAGTAAATGCGCTGTCCTGCGCCCACATTCACTCACAGACATGTTAAGCCCCACGGGGCTCGCCCCGCTCTCTCTCCCTCAGCAAACTGCTATAAGGGTTTTGAGCGCGGCTAGGCTGCCCGCCGCGATCGGCGCGCCCCCCGCCTCACACACTGTAAACACAGTGTCTGCGTTACAGCACGCCGGAGCTCCCTTGCCGTCACTATGTCACGGCCAGAGCCCAGATCTCATTCTACCCCTAGCTATTCACGCGAAAGTGTGGGCACAGCTTCCTGGGGTATCAGAATGGGTGCTGAACACTATAAAAAGAGGCTATTCGCTACAGTTCGCTCGACGTCCCCGCCGTTGTACGGCGCGCGTCGAGACGACGGTAAAAAACGAAGTATCTCATCTACTTCGAGCCGAGATAGCGAAACTTCTGAGCAAAGGTGCTATAGAACCTTTATCTCAAGCTCAGAGCAAAGGGGGCCTACACAGCAGATATTTTCTGGTACCGAAAAAAGATGGAGGTCTCAGACCCATTTTAGATCTGCGACAGCTGAACAGAGTGCTTTTGAAGCACCAGTTCAGAATGCTTACAACCAGGAAAATCCTCACGCAAGTTTGCCAAGAGGACTGGCTTATGTCAATAGATATGAAAGACGCCTATTTCCAGATACAAATAGCGTCCCATCACAGGTGATTCTTGAGATTCGCCTTTGAGGGCCAGGCATATCAATACACAGTCCTGCCGTTCGGCCTGTCCCTAGCACCCCGTACATTCACGAAGTGCATGGACGCGGTTCTCGCACCCCTGAGACTCCGGGGCATGCGAGTTTTGAACTACTTGGACGATTGGCTGATTCTAGCTCGATCTCACTCAGAGCTCATAGAACACAGGGCCACATTACTCGAGCACCTCGAGAATCTGGGCCTCACAGTCAATCGGGCGAAGAGCTCACTGTCCCCCAGTCAGAAAATTTCTTTCTGGGTACAGTGCTGGACTCGCGATCCATGACAGCACGCCTGTCATCGGAGCGCGGACTAGACATTCAGCGCGTCGCGAAATCCGTCTGCCACGGCTCTATAGTCCCGCTCAAAAGGTTACAGAAAATGCTGGGCCTGATGGCCTCAGCAGCCTCTGTGCTCCAGCTGGGCCTGCTTCACATGCGCCCACTGCAGATGTGGCTGAAAGCGCGAGTTCCGCCCTGGGCACGGACCGCTGGTCTGTTTCGCCTCAGGGTCGATCTAAAGTGCGTTTTCAGCTCTGAAACCTTGGAAAGTAACCAACTGGTCTCAGTCAGGTGTGAGTCTGGGGACCGCCTCGAGTGTGCAGGTGGTGTCTACGGACGCCTCCACCTTGGGGTGGGGAGCGCTGCTCAAGGGCAGACCCTTCGCTGGCCTGTGGTCAGAACGGGAAAGGCTCCTTCACATAAACTGCTTGGAAATGATAGCAGTCGACAAAGCGCTACGGTGCTTCTGTCCCCAGGTAACGGATCACCACGTCCTGGTCCGGTCGGACAACATGTCAGTGGTGGCACACATAAATCCCCAGGGCGGCGTCAGGTCCCGAAACCTTTACAGGTTGACGGAACGTCTTCTGGTCTGGGCTCAGGACAACCTGCTCTCGCTGAGAGCAGCGCATGTGCCTGGTCACCTGAATGTGGGACCAGACAGACTGCTCAGAAACAATGTCCCAGCAGGGGAATGGTCGCTGCACCCGCAAGACGATCCAACTGCTGTGGAAAACGTTCGGCAGAGCGCAGGTGGACCTGTTCGCGTCCCACAAAAACGCTCACTGTCCGAAATATTTCTCCAAGAGCAAGGACGCGCTGGCCCACGTCTGGCCTCGCTGTCCCCTCTATCCTTTTCCCCCCGTCTCGCTCCTGCCTCAAGTGCTGGAACGAATCAGGGAAAACGGATGCCCAGTGCTGCTTGTGGCTCCGCTCTGGACAAACTAGACTTGGTTCCCAGTCCTGATGCGGCTGACCAGCACTGCCCCATGGCCAAAACCGTTGAGGAAAGACCTCCTCTCTCAGGCCAAGGGCTCTATTTGGCATACTCGCCCGCAACTATGGTCCCTACATGCATGGGCCATCAACGGGTACCCGCTAACCTCCTGGAGGGAGTGTTAAACAAGATCACGCAGGCGAGAGCCCTGTCTACTAGACGGCTCTACTCCTCGAAGTGGTCTGTGTTCTCTGCCTGGTGTCAAGCTCAGGGCTATTCACCCGTAGACTGGGGGGTCACGGAAGTACTCTCCTTCCTTCAAGAGCTGCTGGATAAGGGCAGGACCTCATCCACGCTCAAAGTGTACGTGGCGGCCATAGCAACGTTTACAAAACCTGTGTCTGGCTAGTCACTGGGGAAAAACGACCTAGTCGTGCAATTCCTTAAGGGAGCTCGGAGGCTGAACCCTCCTAGACCTCCTTCAGTCCCGGTGTGGGACCTTTCTACGGTTTTGGAAGCCATGAAAGGTGCCCCGTTCGAGCCAATCCATTTGTCAGACATGAAGCATCTGTCTTTCAAAACGGTGTTTCTTTTGGCTCTCGCTTCAGTGAAGCGCATAGGGGACTTACAAGCGCTTTCAGTAAGCGCGTCATGTATGGAGTTTGGGCCTAATGACTCAAAAGTCATACTCAAACCAAGGCACGGGTACGTGCCCAAATCCCTCAACACACCGTTCAGGGCCCAGGTTATTTCCCTGTGTGCTCTCTCGGTTCATGATGAGGAGGAGGATGCGAGTCTCCTTTGCCCTGTCAGGGCACTGAGAGCTTATGTGTCCCGCTCGTCTGTCTTCAGACAGACCGAGCAGTTCTTCGTTTTGTTTGGCAGACGCTCCAAGGGACTGGCCGCATCAAAACAGAGCCTATCCAGATGGATAGTCGACGCCATAGCACTGGCTTACACTTCTAAGGGCCTGCAGTGTCCTTTGGGTGTCAGAGCGCACTCCACGAGAGGCGTGGCCTCGTCGTGGGCGTGGTATAGTGGGGTTACCTTGCAAGATATCTGTACGGCCGCGGGCTGGGCCTCGCCGTCTACATTTATAAGGTTTTATAACCTAGAGGTTCCCGCCTTACAAGCCAAGCTTCTGTCGGTATAGAATTCAGTGCTATCTGCCCCGCTGTACCGGCCCAGATGCTGAGTTTTGCTTGTGCATCGCTCACAGCTACATGGGTGTTGAATAACCCGTACTGTTACCCAGTTCAGGCTGAACACGTTCACCCTGTCTGTGTGAAACACTGTTAACATAACTAGCTCCTGTAGGATGCTATTTCATGGGGAATGATGCTTGCAGCCTCTCTTCCCCGACTCTCTGTGAGTCTATGGTGATTATGCACTACATGAGACCCGGGCTACTGCCCTTGGGATTTTGGTGTCGGATCCCAGTACGCACAGCGTCTTGCATTGTGTTCCCCATAGTGTAAGATATTACGCAGTACGAGAGATACTCTCGTAAGAGAACGTACTCGGTTACTAACGTAACCTCGGTTCTCTCTAGAGAGGGAACGAGTACTGCGTATCTTGCCGTGCATACACAGCTCTGGTTCGCTTCGGCGATGAAAACCAGTGTACCAGCCTTATCGAGCTATATTTATAGGGCGAGACCACGCCCTTTCTGGCGGGAATTGACGAAATGGGCGCGAAATGCCCCCATTGGATATGGTGTCACGCAGCGCCTCTCTCGATAGGCTGCTGCTGTTGCAGCAGGGCAGCCAATAGGCGCGCGAGCCGTCCTGCCTATGTCTGCATGCTGCTGCACAGCGTTTTACATTAATTCAAAATTAAGGATAATTTTTGGCTTCAATATCTCGTGGAAAAGAGGTTTTCCCCGTAGCGTAAGATATTACGCAGTACTTGTTCCCTCTCTAGAGAGAACCGAGGTTACGTTAGTAACCGAGTACGACTCATTTCCTCTGCACTGAATCTCTTGTGTCCACATCTGAGCGTCTCCTTTGCCAAAAGCATCTTCTCCCAGCACCTGTACAGGAGCCCCACAGTCCAGCTCTCACACACAACCTCTGCATCCTGCTGGTCAAAGGCAGCGTCACACACTGAAACCCACGACTGATCATCAAGTATCTCTAACCTCCCAGAGCACAGGTGAGATCCATTAACGAGTCTGGAAGCTTTATGACCTGTTCATATTACAGGAATGACAGTGCACAGTAGACAAAAACAAATGCTTGATAGTTAATTACAATAACTATGCAAACATTTACAGTTTTCCAAACAAAAAAATCTAGAAATTATCAAAGGTAACTCTAAAAGTAACGTTTCAAAATATTCTTTAAAAAAAAGAATAATTCCAGAAGCTGTAATGAACAGTGGCAGTGTGTGTGGCCATCCAGTCAAACTGTAGTAAAAGTATTCGAGAGAGTTTCACATGTAATAAGTAGCTATTTCATATGCAAGCATGTCAGCCAATCACAGCAGTGGCCGGTTACACTGAATCCAACAGCAGACACGCCCCTTCAAACAGAGCGTTCAAATCAGAGGCTAAAATCAGGCTAGGAAAAATGCCTTTTATTTTTAAATTATGACTATTTTTGATCTAAAAAACATACTAACATTATAAGGGCAACCCAGGAAACATTATAAAATAAAAAAATAACCCCATGCCAGGGGACCTTTAAATAACTAAATAATTTATCTCTCTTATATCCACTCTTTTCAACATACTGAAAGCTAATCAAGACTGGGCTTGTCAACTACCAAATTGACAAACGAACGAATAAATAACTCACCATTAAATATCATGCATTACTCACACAAAAGCTACCGGATGTCATTTTATAAAATAAAGCACATGGCACATAACCTGGCCCTTGCCAGATGAATTTCGCTCCGCCTAGCTTCACTCACATCTAGGGGTGGGGGAAAAAATCGATTCTTAGATGCATCGCGATGCGGACGTGGACGATTCTGAATCGATTCACAATTGTCAAAAATCGATTTTCAAAAAAAAAAATTTTTTTTAGATATATATTTATAATAACGTAATATTGACGGAACGCGAAAGACGGAACTCTGAAGCGCGGAAGTGCAGTGGCCGGACCGTCTGTGGCGTGCACATAACAGACGCGGACGCGATGGCTGAGCGCCAAATCCAAACACCCTCCTCGTTAAAAGCTGACGTGTGGAAATATTTTGGCTTCTGAAGTTGAAGGGGGAAAGGAGCTGGACAAGAGCCACACTAGTTGTAAGCTTTGTAGAGTAAAACTAAAATATTTCGGAAACAAGACACATGAAGCCAAATGACACGTTTCCAGCCAGAGGAGGAAAAACACTCGGCTGTAACGTTACCGGTCGTTGTTATATTATTAATTTACTACAAATATGCTGCTGCTAGTTCAGACACACATGTATTTTCCTGTTGGTTCTTTGCAATGTTAATAAAATATATTGTACGTTAATTCTTTATGGGTCATTACTTTGTACTTTTAAAGCAAAGTATTTATAGTCACACACACACAAAAAAAAGATTCTGATAATCGATTTAGCATCGAATCGCAGCCCTCTGAATCGTAATCGAATCGAATCGTGAGGTGCCTAGAGATTCCCACCCCTACTCACATCCATCTGGAACCTCTTCCATTGAGAGTGATTTCTCCAACCAACTTTATGGTTTAGCCAATCAGGACGCAGGGCGGGAGTTTCATAGATGTGACGTAGTGGAGAAGCGACCGTGAGACTGTTTTGATTCAGACAACAATGGCGGCTCGCATCGAGGAAACAAGCGTTAACATTGATGCTGTTAACATTGATTTCATCCGTGTTGTCCAATCTACCTAATATTGTTTCATTAAAAGAACATCAGAGAACGGCTCTTAAGGCTTTTGTTGGTGGAAACGATGTTATATAGATCAGTGCCTTCTCCCGACCGGATTCTTCAGCGTCACGGGTTGGCTTCGGTGTGAGTGGTTGAAATAGCACGTCGATAAAGATGACAGACAAGTGGCTTATCCAATCATATGCAAGGATTTTTGATAAGGCCCAGCCTTCTGAAACGCCATTTCAATGGATCGGTTCCAGATGGATGTGAGTGAAGCTAGGCGGAGCGAAATTCATCTGGCAAGGGCCAGGTTACATGCCACATGGATCAAAAAAAAAAATCCCCTTTTGTGTTATACCAATGAAAGTCCTTCTAGCTTGGACCAAATTCAGGGTGAGCAATAAAATAAAATAACTTTCACTTTCAACTTTTAATTCTGGCCGGAGTTTCCTATGGGGAGCTTTTTTCGGTGCGGGAATCCGGTTCCGGGTATATCGGGCCATAACGGAGATGATTATGAAAGATTGAGAACAGGTGCGGGAGGAGAGTGAGCGGAACAGCGATTGGGACGCGCCTTGATTGAGGGTGACATAAAAGGGTATTACATTCAAACCAAAGAAAAAAGGAGAGAGGAAAAACGAGAGGAGCACGAGGGAAGAGGGGCCCGGCCGTCGAGTTATTCGGGTGGGAGAGAAAGAGAGAGATTTGGACTCGGGTAAGGAGAAAGACAGGTTGGAGGAGAAAGGGAGAAGCTATAAAGAAGTCAGCACCTTGGGTGAGATTAGTGTCGAACTCTAGCCGGATTATGGAACAATTGACGTCCCTGTGAATTGTATGGAATAGCATGGTGAGTGAAATTTCACTGTAGGACCTATACTACATTGAGTGAATTGTGCTTCACAGCTGTTTCCCAAATAGCTTAACATCAGCGAGTGGTGGACGAGACCTCATGCCTGTGCCTTCTCTTTGCAGAAGACGCTAAAAGCTGTGAAAGCCCGTTGATGTGGTTGAAAATACTAATTTCTCTCTCTGCCTGAGTCCAGTGAAGAGCCGGCTAAAGCCGTGAAGTGTACTCACCTCCCTTCTCTCTGCCGGAGTCCAGTGAAGAGCCGGCTAAAGCCGTGAAGTGTACTCGCCTCCCTTCTCTCTGCCGGAGTCCAGTGAAGAGCCGCTAAAGCTGCGAAGTGTACTCGCCTCCCTTCTCTCTGTCTGAGTCCAGTGAAGAGCTTGCTAAAGCCGTGAAGTATACTCACCTCCCTTCTCTCTGCTTGAGTCCAGTGAAGAGCCGGCTAAAGCCATGAAGTGTACTCACCTCCCTTCTCTCTGCCGGAGTCCAATGAAGAGCCGGCTAAAGCCGTGAAGTGTACTCACCTCCCTTCTCTCTGCCGGAGTCCAGTGAAGAGCCAGCTAAAGCCGTGAGGTGTACTCACCTCCCTTCTCTCTGTCTGAGTCCAGTGAAGAGCCGGCTAAAGCCGTGAGGTGTACTCGCCTCCCTTCTCTCTGCTTGAGTCCAGTGAAGAGCCGGCTAAAGCTGTGAAGTGTACTTGCCTCCCTTCTCTCTGCTTGAATCCAGTGAAGAGCCGGCTAAAGCCGTGAAGTGTACTCACCTCCCTTCTCTCTGCTTGAGTCCAGTGAAGAGCCAGCTAAAGCTGTGAAGTGTACTTGCCTCCCTTCTCTCTGCTTGAGTCCAGTGAAGAGCCGGCTAAAGCCGTGAAGTGTACTCGCCTCCCTTCTCTCTGCTTGAGTCCAGTGAAGAGCCGGCTAAAGCCGTGAAGTGTACTGGCCTCCCTTCTCTCTGCTTGAGTCCAGTGAAGAGCCGGCTAAAGCCGTGAAGTGTACTCGCCTCCCTTCTCTCTGCTTGAGTCCAGTGAAGAGCCGGCTAAAGCTGTGAAGTGTACTTGCCTCCCTTCTCTCTGCTTGAGTCCAGTGAAGAGCCGGCTAAAACCGTGAGGTGTACTCGCCTCCCTTCTCTCTGCTTGAGTCCAGTGAAGAGCCGGCTAAAGCCGTGAAGTGTACTCGCCTCCCTTTTCTCTGCTTGAGTCCAGTGAAGAGCCGGCTAAAGCCGTGAAGCGTAATCACCTCCCTTCTCTCTGCTTGAGTCCTGTGAAGAGCCAGCTAAAGCTGTGAAATATACCCACTCCTTCCTCCATTTGAATCCTGTTGAAGAAGAACGCTGAAGTGACTTCAGTAGTGGTTTTAAAGAGATGTTTTAAAGTAAATAAAGATATTGTTATACTTCCCATTGGTTGTCCTGCAGTTTAGCTCCTCACGGTGACGTGCATGTCAGGGGTGCCGGCCGGTCATTAAGAGCCCACCCCGACCTGTGACATGTGCACTTGTGTTGAATTTATATGCAAGATGCTAGCCAATCATAGCAGTGGCCATTTAGATTCAAGCCTCACAGCAGACGCCCCTTTCATATCAGAGGGCTAAAATCAGGGTAGGAAATGGCCTTTTATTTCTTAATGTCGATTTTTGATGTAAAAATCATAACATTATCAGTGCACCTCAGGAAACATTATAAAATAATAAAAATTCAGTTTATGACCCATGTAATACTATTAAAAAATGGTGGGATTTGGAGCAGCTAACCTGAGCAAATGACTCCCGCATCTTTAGAGTGATCACGGTCATTAAAAGCCCACTGTATTGATGCACAGTACTTCAGTGTTGATTCTGATCCAGTACATAACATAAGACGTGTCCAGATTGGTCCTGATCCAAAATGAGCATCACCCAGAGCATCTACAGGTTCTCCACTGTCCAGCTCTCTACACACCACTGCAGCATCAGCCATATCCCAGTCATCTCCACACACTGTTCCCTACAGTTGCACTACAGTTCGCTCGCCGTCCCCCGCGTTTTCACGCTCGGACCGAGTCGACAGTGAGCGCGAAAGTAGAACATCTACTCCGCGCAGAAATAGCCAAACTGCTGTGCAAAGGAGCTATAGAACCGGTGCCGCCTTCTCTGAGCAAGTCAGGCTTTTACAGCCGTTATTTTCTCGTACCGAAGAAGGACGGAGGCCTGAGGCCTATATTAGATCTGAGATTTTTGAACAAAGCTCTCATGAGGAGACCGTTCAAAATGATTACAACCAGGCAGATCCTCGCGCAAATTCGCCCGAGGGACTGGTTTATATCTCTCGATCTGAAAGACGCATATTTTCAGATACAGATTATACCCCGTCACCGGCCATTCTTGAGATTCGCCTTCGACGGCCAGGTATATCAGTACACCGTCCTCCCGTTCGGCCTTTACAAAGTGCATGGACGCGGCGCTCGCCCCCCTCAGATGTCAGGGTGTGCGAATTCTGAACTATTTGGATGATTGGCTGATTATAGCACAGTCAGAGATAGAGCTCGTATCTCACAGAACTATGCTTCTCAGCCACTTGAAAAGATTGTCTCTCACGGTCAACTGGACCAAGAGCTTATTACAGCCCAGCCAGTCAATCTCCTTTTTCGGGATGGAACTGGACTCCGTGGCTATGAAGGCTCAGCTGTCGACAGAGAGCGCGCACGCCGTGTTCGACACCTGGCCGCATCTTTCCAGAAGGGCAGAACCGCCTCCCTGAAGAAATTTCAGAGGATGCTAGGCTGTATGGCCTCAGCTGCAGCAGTGCTTCAGCTGGGCTTACTGCGCATGCGCCCGCTACAACGCTGGTTGAACGCCCGCGTACCCTGTCAGGTGTGGACGGGGTACGCGGCGCGCGCGCTCTCTGTCGACAGCTGAGCCTTCATAGCCACGGAGTCCAGTTCCATCCCGAAAAAGGAGATTGACTGGCTGGGCTGTAATAAGCTCTTGGTCCAGTTGACCGCGTCCACCAGGCGGCTACAAGCGGATCAGGATATCTCAGAGCTGCATTTCAGCTCTGCAGCCCTGGTTAGCGGCCAATTGGTACCAGCAGGGGGCTAGGATGGGAGCGATTTCCCACCGAAAAATCATCTCGACAGACGCCTCCAACTCAGGTTGGGGCGGCCTTTTCGAGGGCAGACCGGTCTTTGGCCTGTGGTCAGACCGAGAGAAATGCCTTCACATAAACTGTCTGGAGATGTTGGCGGTCGAGAACGCGCTGAAGCGCTTCCTCCCATTCATACAGGACCAACATGTTCTAGTCCGCTCGGACAACATGTCGGTTGTGTCCTATGTGAACCGCCAGGGCGGTGTCAGGTCCAGGAGCCTCTGCGACCTGGCAGAACGCCTCTTCGTTTGGGCCCAGTGCTTCCTGCGTTCACTGAGAGCGACGCACGTGCCAGGGATCCTGAACGAGGGACCGGACAGATTGTCCAGGGACAATATCTCCCCCGGGGAGTGGTCGTTACACCCCCAAACAGTCCAGCTGTTGTGGCGCCTCTTTGGCAGAGCAGAAGTCGACCTATTCGCGTCAAAGGACAACGCTCATTGCCCAGTGTTCTTTTCAAAGAACGAGGATGCGCTGGCCCAACTCTGGCCCAGCCACCCGCTATATGCCTTCCCTCTGATCTCTATGTTACCACAGGTAATCAAGAGAATCAGGGAATCGCACAGCCCGGTGCTCCTCATAGCCCCGCAATGGGAGAACCAAACCTGGTTCCCGGAACTAACACGGCTGTCACACACAGCCCCGTGGCCGATTCCGGTGAGGAGAACAACCCAAAACTCTTTGTAAGATTTCCCATCGGTGAGGGCTGCCACTGAATAGTTTGTACAGCTGATTGATGAAGCCAAAGAATATGTCTATTTCTGGGCAGGCCCGGGCTGCATGGACACCAACTAGGTTTAACGTGTGAGATGCACATGGTGAGTATGTGGCCAAGGGATTTTTGTTCAGTATGCGAGCTTGCACTCCTCTCACTTTTCCTGCCATGTTAGCTCCATTATCATAGCACTGACCCCTGCAATCAGCTATATCTATCCCATGTTCACTTAGTGATTGTTCCACCATTGTGGCGATTTCCTCTTCTGTCTTTTTTGAAAAGTCCTTAAATTCAAGGAAACGTTCATTTATTTCCCACCCACCCTCAGGGGAAGTTTGACTGACATACCTCAGCAACAGTACATTTTGCTCCAAGTTTGACACATCTGGGGTTGCATCACACATCATGGAATAGAATGTTGTTTCTTGCCTTTCCCTCAAAATAGTGTTTAGGACACGCTGAGCACAAAGTTCAATAAATTCGTTTGGCTGTCAGGTGAAAGATAATGAGCTTGGAGTCTCTTTCCCTGTTGCCGGTGCTCTCTAATGTTTTGTAAATGGTCATTTAGGATACTGTCATACTTTGCCAACAGCTCAATTATGCCAAGAAAATTTGCATTGTCTGGCTCATCTAGTGTATTTGTGCTGCCCCTGAATGGCAGATTCCTGAAGGCTAAGTAGAGTGTTACATCCAGCAGCCGCTTCAGTAGTGCTTTGTTTTTTTCGATTTCTGTCTCCATCAATTTTTGTTGTTGGTTGTCGATTCCAGAAGTCTGTAGGACAGAATGTTGTAGGTTCTTCCATTTCCAATAACAATGTTTGTGTGCACAGTTTCTTTCATGTTCTGGAAATCTCTCATAGAGCTTTCTATATTTTATATTCGATATTTTCATCCCATCTGTGGAATTTAGTGCACTAGTTGACTTTTTCTCTACTTCAAAGGAGAACAGCAAGCATGGTAGGCAAAATAAGGCCTTTTTTGAGCTGCTATATACTATCCAGTCCCTATCGATTTTTTCCCTTCCATTGTGGGATGTGGAATATGTCAAATAGTTTGGGAATTCCCTGCCCTCTGCATCTGCTGGCATTTCCTTTGCCCTCTCCGAGAAAGGCATTCGTTTTGCCATCACACGTATGAGGTTCACTCTATCAGAGTCGGTCATTCTAGTTGGCCATAATGCAGGATCGCTGAAATTAAGTGTGTGATCAGTCTCTGATCCATCCTGCTCAGACTCTCCGACGGGGCAGCGGGCCCCTCCCGCATCACTGTGACTCTCTCTCTCTCTCTCTCTCTCTCTCTCTCTCTCTCTCTCTCTCTCTCTCTCTCTCTCTCTCTCTCTCTCTCTCTCTCTCTCTCTCTCTCTCTCTCTCTCTCTCTCTCTCTCTCTTCTCTCTCACTGGTGGCCTGACTCTGTCCCTCTGCTCCGGGGCAGCGGGCCCCTCCCGCATCACTCTCTCTGTCACCTGACTGCAGCTGGATCTCTCTCCTCTCTGTCTCATCCTCTCTGACGGAACTACCAAACTCAACTGTGTCTGTCAAAGATAACGTGTTGTGTCAGGCTTTTATACTAGAGATGCACCAAGTACAATTTTCTAGGCCAATTCTGATTTTAGCCGATTC